TGACACCATTATTGGGCCTAACCAAGTGAGTTATAAGATCAAGAATACATATTCCTGCGCCTCCAGAAATATAATCTATGCTATCATGTGCCGAAAGTGTCCGTCTGCTATGTACATTGGACAAACGTCTCAGACACTTCGCCAAAGAATCAATGCCCACAAAACAGACATTAGACAGGATCACAAAGAAAAAACAGTTGCTTGTCATTTCAACCAGAAAGGACACAGTCTCAATGACCTGCTAACCTGCATCCTACTTCAGAAGACATTCAAATCTGCACTTGAAAGGGAATCCTCTGAACTGGCATTCATGCTAAAATTCGACACTCTCCGCACCAGACTTGACTTAAAGACCCCGGCTATCTTACACATTACAAAGACAGCTTCCCCAATTATCACCTCTAATTCTATTAACTCACAGACATTTCCCCTTCCCCACCTCTAATATCATTAACTCACTGGCATTCACCTTCCTTTCCCCCTCCCTAAATCCCCCTTCTGTTCTGTAATGTGATTTGTCCTTTTCATGTGTGTTCATTTTTTTAAATTGTATCCTTTGGTATATATGGTTGTGATTATTTTCTTCCACTATTTGATCTGAGGAAGTGGGTCTGGCCCACGAAAGCTCATCATCTAATAAACCATCTTGTTAGTCTTTAAAGTGCTACATAGTCCTGTATTTTGTCTAGGAATGGTTTCTCAACCAGTTAGGCATCCACCTTACAGCAGCTCCATTATCTGTCTAAGTACTGAAGTTTAAGCTGACTGGTCTGTAATTCCCTGGCTTGTCCTTATTTCCCTTTTTAAAGATGGGCACTATATTTTCCCTTTGCCAGTCCTCTGGAATCTCTTCCATGAGTTTTAATGATAATAGCTAAAGGCTCAAATACCTCCTCAATCAGCTCCTTGAGTATTCTAGGATGTACTTCAACAGGCCCTGGTCTCTTGAAATAATCTAACTTGTCAAAGTAATTTTTCACTGGCATTCACTATGTGAGATGTCCAATCTCTACTAATCTTTTTGTTGAAAAATAAAACAAAAACAAAAAAAGTGATTAAGCACCTTGGCCATTTCCATATTTTCTGTTCTCATTCTCCCCTCCCTGCAGTGAGCAACGGACCTACCCTGTCCTTCCTCCTGCTTCTAATGTGTTTGCAGAGTGTTTTCTTGTTGCCCTTTATGTCTCTGGCTACTTTAATTTCATTTTGTGCCTTGGCCTTTCTAATTTTGTCATGACATACTTGTATGTATTTATATTAATCCTTTGTCATTTGACCTTGTTTCTACTTTTTGTAGGTTGTTTTTTTTTTTAAGTTCAGATCATTGGCGATCTGAAGTCAAGGTGGTCTCTTGCTGTGCTTCCTATCTTGCTATGTAAATCTTATTAAAGTGATTGGACCTCCTCGGTCCGGCATCCTCAGGAACAGAACTCGTCCCAGATGAAGGGTTTTGCAGGACCAGGAGAGGTCTTCCTGTCCCCCACAGCCACCGGCCCCTCAAAGCTCTGGCTTTGCTACTGGCCGGAGGGAAGGTATGCTCCCCCTCCTGCTGCTGGACCTGCTGTTACACGCGGGGCTTTCCGGCCCACAGAACACCTGGCCACTGGCCTCCACCAGGACTCTCTGGTCCTGCAACATCTGTGCCGGACCATAGATGTTGCTGGACCAGAGAGTCCTGGATAATTACAGGTTCAACCTGTATTACATACAAAAAAGCTATGTTAAATGAATGCTG